GGACTCCTGAGTGGACCCATCACCGATCAGCGAGGCCTCCTCCGATTTGGGAGCTTCGGTCTCGACCGGACTTCCATCCACATCTTGCACAATCACATTCCTCAACTTCCTCTGCCGCGGGTTGTAGTTCTCAGTGCGCTTGTGAATTTGAATGTGACGCCGCAGATGTGCCTGAAGAGGAAATGTAAAAATGTGAGAGTTGGGTAATGACCTAACATGATGCAATGAGGGAATGCTTCAAAAAGAACACAAAAATTATAGATATACAGTATAGTCATGTCAGTCTACAGTCAAGTTTATACAAATATCCCTGTAAGTGAAAAGTTCAGACTCTACACATTCTTAATATGGTCGTCTCAGCCACACAGCTCCTGGCTGTGACCACAGAAGACCCACCCAAACACCTGGTGGCAGGGTCAGACATTCAGTAGAAAGTTGGCCTAAAGGGACGGGAAAGGGACTCTAAACACCCAGTATAAATAAAGAAGGATTATGTTTAACTGTGTCTCATGCAAACTTAGTTTAGTAGAGTCCAATAATTATAAAATGTCACACAAAAACATAAACCGGTTAGAAAGACAGATATAAAGCTTTATATAGCTGTCATAGCCAGACATAAAAAAGCCCACAAACTAGTGATTCTTGCTGAATGACATTAAAGATTAGAAGGGTCTGAATATGGGGACAGTGCGCAAATTACCATGCAAGTGATACAGACCTGAAATGATTACAAAAAATAATATAAAAGTAATTAATTTAATTACCTGGAACTTTGATGGCAACTAAAGAGATGGATTATTTTGTTCATTATATAAAAGCTTCAGTTATAAATTTTTTACCAGTTTTCATATTTATGACCAAAGAACTTTGCTTTGCACTTTTTGAAACTTGCTTTTATCTTTTTTATTTCTTTTCTAAAAAAATCTTGTTTGTATGAAATAGCAGTTATAGACCAACATCACACCACAAAGCAAACAGTCTGAATTAGGACACACTAAATTCACTCAGGCACATTCACATAAGCGTGCCCCTGAAAATTGACATTTGTGTCCACTCACTCCCTATCCACAGTAGCCCGAGTGGCTAATACATGCGCCACTCGCCTTCTTAGACGGAGATTGTTGGTTTTAGTACCATCTGGCGTGAATAGCAGATTGGTGATGAATGATGATCAAAGCGTTTGGAAAATTGGCATGGGAGACATCCTACAATAAAACCACCTCCATCAAAATTATTAATCTCTTTGTCTTCCCACTATGATTCAGTCACATTTCCTGAAGTTAAATTAGGGTTAAAACTAAAACACTCGGGTGTATAATAAATCCTGTGGTGGGTGAGATTAG